ACTTGTAGTCATAAAAAGTACACACTTTACAGCAGGGCTATTTCTGGAGCGGCACTGCCGCGCATGAACGACTCTGAACCTAGTTTTGCTCGATGATTCCTTTAGGATACGAACCGCTGAAGGCTCCGTTCCTATGACATTTCTTCGATTTTTCCTGTATGCAACACAGGTTTTGTATTGGATGGAGAATCCCTTGGGTGTTTTGCATCATAATGCCTCCCCTCTCTCCCTATAGACTACATCGCTCCACTCTAAACTCCACACACACACGACTACCGATGAGAAGTCTGCAAAAAAACTCCGCTCCCATCGGAACAACTCTTATGGATACATTCATGTCGTGAGCCAATGGCGCCAAAATGGCAGCTATCTACGGCCCTGTTACTTTTTCTACAGAGCACATTCGGAGAACGAGACCTTGTAAGTAGATACAAGAAACGGGAACTCTAGGGAGCCTGTGAAGACCTAATGACGTAGGTGATCAAGTTTGACAAATAAAAAACAAATAAATAATGGCGCAACTTTTCTTCGCAACACAGGGCAATTGATTCAGATCCCTTCCGAATCATACGTACCACAGCACTACCTCTATTCCAGAATGGGCACTGAATTTACGGGTGTAATCAACATCCCACAAGGTGTACCGAGACGCTTCGCAGCGAGTACTACTCCTAACCCCGCCTCTCCCTCACTTTCTCCAAGATGTTGGAAGCAGGTGAGCGGTGCTTTTCGTTACAAGGATACTTCATCTTAAGATTTTCCACTACCCTTCCTTGCCTAATACTTTTTGAAGCGCAAAAGACTTGTGCGCAGGCGGGATCCAGCCGACTGTGACACCTCGCCCACGAATGACTCACTACGGGTTCCCGCCAAAGCGCACAAACGTTCGCAAGCCCATATTCATGAAGCTATAAGGAAGCAGGATGTTATGGGAGGAAGTGGCATGGATCAGAATCCTTCGACATAAGGAGTGCCAATTAGTAAATGATGGGGTGGGCTAAATAGTTACTATCCGAAAAAACCTATATTAGACGAAGAAACAAAAATAATACAACTACCGCTCCAGAAACTCACTACAACCCTTTAGATCCCATGAATAACATGAAAAAAAGACTTCCTACCCCAATTTCGAGTGCTACTGTCCGAAGACCGCTACTACGGTCCCGTAGTAGAAGAAAACAAGCATAAGACTACAACCAGAAAAAAAAACGCTTCTGGTAACAGAGACGGAGTGAATCCAAAGATTGTCGACAAAGTACAAAAAATCGAGGAAGTGTAAAAGGCGAATCATTCTTTCTATAATCGTTTGAATTACTCTGAACGTCAATCATTCTAACGCTCAAATCACTTAACCTCCAGCAGACATCACGGCGGCGCAATTGAAATATGGCATAAGATTTCGCCGTTACGGTGTGACCGTTACAGACTGAAGCGATTATGAATATTCTTACGTCAAACTGCAGCAAGCAATCCATCACTAGCAATTTGTGCATGCAATGAAAGCGCTAACATCCATAGGTGAGAAATCGCAAACGCAGTTGGGCAAATTGACAAACTGGGAAAAAACTTCACTGAAATTAACACAGAAATATAAGAAAGAAAATTTCCCATAACTATTCGATAGAGCTCATAGATGTGTTTCGGAGCATTGTTGAAAAGGAAAAGCGCACCAGTGGTTGCAGCCTTCGCGATATTAACCAAGAAGGTTCTAGCCTCTTAAACTCTAGCGCCAAGAGTGGGTAAAGTGGGTCTTTCGGCAGCACTATAGAGCTCTGTTCGAGCCAATTCGAAAAAATTGCACTTTTCAGTGACTGTCTAAAAAAAGGTTTTGAATGTTCAGTTCTCAAGGAAAGTACCCTCAATTCTAATCTAGTCCATAATTAAAAGAATTCCAGATCACGCACGCTAAACCCTTACCTTGTTAGCATTTGCAATCGATACAATGATTTGTACGGTAAACCTTCAGCGTGTTCTCACCAAGGCGGTGATTTACGAGCAAAACGCTAAACATTCGTTTTGCAAACTGCGGCAAAAACCAGCACCCAGAAACAAAACAAAACACAACGATTTTCCGTATATGTTTCATTGATTCTTTCGATGTTCTCAAAAAATGTATTTGTAATTCTTGTGGCTATTTATGAAATCAAAAAAAAAAATCTACAAGTGTTAATGAGCAGAGCAGATTTTCAAATATGTCTAGCTATTTGTTCCGAAAAGTGATCTGTGTTATTCTCTGATTTTCCTTATGATACACGACTTTCTTGACGTTTCTTCAAGCATATACTTGTTTATGTGGAAAGCTCGAATTGTTGCAGTGTGCGGTACATTTGAATTTTTCAATAGGAGGCCCTGGACAAAGAAGCATGAGAAATGACGCTTGAATCCGACAAACGAAACGCCATCCAAATGGTGAAAAAATATAAAAAGAAGGAAATTAAAAAGAAACTCTTCAAAACTGAATTTGAGATGGTGATTGCTTAATCTTGGGGTGATAGAGAAGATCAGCGAGTGCTTTGAAGCATGGTCTTCCAGCAAGACGAGATGAAGATCACCCAGCCGTTACCATCAGCTTCTGACTATTGCTTGTTCCAACGACAAGCACTAGTCCTCGTTTTTTCCGATACCAACGCTACGAGTTTCACAGTCGTTCAACCATGTCCCACTAAGTTTCGATTACGTAAACGTCATGAGTTTCGCTAGCGCAATTATTTACGTTTTAAAAGACCAGTTGGCTGACGCGTGTACAGATAGCGCCTAATGTTTGGCATTAATTCACACAAACTCAAACTCAGAAGTTGTAATGATAAATGGGCTCGTTTGCATTCAGATGCTATGCACTCTCATGATTTTTTCGACTGAAACCTATCCCACAAATCCTTCAAAGGAGCCGTTAGAGTACTCATTTCACAGCCGTGAGGAAAAAGCTTCACGGAGATAAAGAAGCGAGGACTTAATAGATGTTCAGGCCATTACTTTGGGAAGAGAATTTCCACAAAAAGGATAGAATGGTATGTCAGAACGGTTCCATCTCATAATCATTACATTACTAGAATCGTAAAGATGTAATTGAATGCATAAGAGTAGACAAATCGCTCATTAAAAGTGCCAACTGACATTCCAACTTTCGGAACAATGTTCTCAAAACTGCTAACATTCCACAATTGTACGATAGAATAACCGACTCAAAGTGGGTTATTGTCAAGATGGAGTAGGAAGTTTAAGGTTAGGAAAATTTGCAAAAGCAGATTGCAAGAAATGTGGTGCGTTATGAATAAAGAAACATTCCACGTGACTCAATTAACTCTAAAAACAAAATAACGGTTACGGGGCAGTGGTCAACCAACCCACAAGAGACACACGCAGAAAAGCACAAGTTTTGTGTATTCTAGCGACTAGGCCTTTTTGGAGGTGAAAGAAGCGAGTGATGCTGAAATAGTGTGCGTGTGCGAAAGTGCCCAGAGAACACTACAAAATGCTGAATCACCAAGCCTTCCGGTTGACCGCTGCCCCTGGACACAAAAGAACAGCTTACCGTGGCCTCGTTTTCACTTTTGGCATAGGTGCGTTCGTTTTCAACGTGAGAACATCGAAATCCATGCTATTCAATTTGCTTTGAGTGAAGGCGTATTGGGCTTCTGAACATGTGAACATTTCGCAATAGTCTGCCTATTCACAGAATTTTCGTGTAAATACTATGCAACTTGAGAAAAAAATCGGAGAAATGTGAGGAGAAACCTCTTCATGGTCAGGATCAGATGGCGCAGGACTTGTAGAAGATGATTCTGGATGGTTTTCGTTATCTTCGTAAGGTGAAGTACAGCCGGGTGAACGCACTTTCAAGGAGTCAACCAGAGAGCGTCTCTGAGAGATGAGTTCTGAAAAAATACCTGGGCAACCTGATCAAATATCTCTTCAAACCCAAATTATAGCCAGAAATACCATCATTTGTGTCGACCGTCTCCTCATTTCGATCCTCTATAATATCCGCTCCCAATATCTTAGAAATGTTGTCCATCAGCTGATCCCACTTAGCTTCGGTGACGTCTTCACGACATTTCGCCAATACTCTCAGTAAATGATGCTAAACAAAGGAAGATACAGACACTGACTAATCAGAAACCAACCACGTCATCACTGTAACTTTCTGTAGATCGATATCTGGTTAGGTATAATTATCAATTTTATTGCTTCGGGGAAGTAATTACTCAAATGATATGTGTGGCCGTGAACTACTAACTAGGATAATTCAAATATTGATATTACCACTAACCTTCCTTAGCAGTTCATCCGAATCTTTAGAACCATCGAACCATTCGAACAACAAATCTACCGCACATCGAGAATCTTGCGAACCTTTAGGAGGCTCTGAAAATGCATTTTGAAGCGTGTCACCGTTTCTGTCTTGGATTGCAAACTTTACTCATCCTTGGATTTTTGAAAAACGCACCTTGTATTACCAGATCTCTGGCTTCAGACTGTATCAGCCTATGTAGCTCACGACTCAACGCCGGATGCATTGTATTCGAGGCAAAAGTGACGCCCTTGAGAACGCCAAGAGCTGAAAAGGTAAACAGTTATTGTCGTAGATCTTAAGAAAAGCAAAAGCGCTGGACGCTATGAATAGTTTACGATGCGCGAACAAAATGGAAAATCTATCGAGAAAACTGCGAAGAACTTACACATTAAATCATTCCTTAGACTGCATCGTGACAGATAGTTTAGATTGTTCTCAATCGCATTATTTATTATTTCGAGATCGCGAGCTCGTTGATCATCTGCAGTGGTTTCGGTAGCAAAAGATGACACGACATCGCGAAGCGGTCGTTGACCTTTTGACTGCAAACAAGAGTTTAAAAACAACGTCCAACAAAAAACTTGTAACAGCAACGCAATCGAATAGAGTTGAAAGAATAGATGAAAATCTGCCCACTTTCCTATTGCTTGAAGAAACAAAATATGACTACGAAAGTCGGGCGACGTGTTTGAAGCAAATCTCATAGAAGCCAGTACATTCAAAAGAAGAAAGAAGTGAAAACCATAACTTGTGGAAATCGTACCTCGACATTTACTTTGGGAGCTATTTTGACAGGATCTCGCAAACTCCGTCTTCGTCGTTCTTCTGCCTTTAATGCTTTCATTGTACGAATTTTATGCTTCACTGAGAAGAGCTTTGGGTTATTTTTCGAGCCGGGACTATTAGACGTGGAGGACTCAATCTCATCATGAACAGTCTGCCACGCCGCATCGTTGCTGACATGGCTGGCACGGCTCTAAAACGCAAACCTCCTTATGAGCGCTCCTATTCAGACCGACGCTAAATTAGAAAAGCGGAGAGAAGAAAAAGGCGAAGACACTTTTGAAGAATACTTAATTTTCATCCTGCACCTTTCGTAAAACGAATAAAAGGAAACAATTGCTGGAAGCGTTCTGACCGAAAAAAAAAACAATAAAAGTGAAGAAGACTCTGACCTTGACATCCTCGTCGTCGGCATTCGTCGGCACTTCTTCACAAGGCGCTTTTGCCGGTCCAGCCACTTCGCCTTTCACAACGCATACCGATGACGAGACCAACGCCGAATCTATGTGAAGATCACTATCAAAATGCAGAAAAGAACTCAGTGAGAAGTGTAAGCACTCTACAAATCAGGGGTGCAGCAGGGCGTACGGTACAGCCCGAAAAGATCGATCGACTCAAACATTTCTCGCCGCTCTAAGAGTACAAGGAAACTTGGCCATGAAGGTTATTGCAGGGACTTATAACTCCACCATACAGCTCCAGCATAGGCTGAAGATCTTGGACCAGGGGAAAAAAGTAACCGTGATTCCGCTTCTGCTGCAACCACACCCTCAATTTCCACTGATACCTATACATACCAACCGTAACCTCTTGCAAAACGGCCCTTGAAGCATATGCAACATTAGTCTTTCTCTATTTTCGCCCATCCCATATTATACTGCTCCCTCAGGCAAATAAAATATGTGGTAAGTACTACTCATACAGTGATGCAACTTCAAAGTAACGAATCCAGAACAATGTTCACAAGTACTATGTACAGGAATGAGCTGGAGAGGAAATGGTCTCTGTCGGTCCAGACTCTGCGATTTGATCGACTGGCACCAGTCCGCACCAGCTACTCCCACGACCGGCGCGATTCTCGTAATTCCCTGACCAGGATTAGGCTTGGGTTAAGGTCAGGGTAATGGTGAGGGAGGGTTAAGGGCAGGTCTGAGGACAGGTCTCCTAAGAGCCACCTTATGTTCGGTGGGGGGGGGGGCAAACCTGACACCGGCGTCCACGTGTAATAGCCGATGCCCAGTTCTAGAGAAAAAAAAGAGATTTGAAAATGATGGAAACGGGGATGGTCAAGAAGAGATGAATTTAGGGAGCTATTGGCTCATTCGAAGCCCAACAAAATTTCTATACTCCTCTCATTTAAGGAAAACTTGCGTTTTCGGACTGCCTGATTCAAAAAGAAATAACGAAAGTTTATAAAAAATTCCATTGAATCCCTGTCGCGCGAGTGTTTCGACAAACCCAACCCTGCTGAAAGCGAGCTGCGCACCAACAAAGGAAATCGGTGAAAACGTCACTATTAACACTGATCAATGAAGATGTAGGTGAATAATAAAAGAGCTACACACTGGAAAATTCGGTAGAGGACCTTAAGAAATTGCACAACCGAAAAGGTGCTTCACCTGTTAGTATATCAAATACATATTTAAGTGAAGTTGCAAACATCACAGTATCGATCACAGCTTTTCCGCTTCAAGCAATCCACGGCTGCCAGATCATGCGAAATCCAAAAAGACAACAGCATATTAATGCAACGACCAATCGTATACGTTCGATATCCGATTACGCGATATAATTCGATTCAAAGAAAAACAAAGTGGTTTCATCCAAACGGGATGCGACGTGGATGGATTGTTTTGAATGGGCGGTCTGAACAAAAGCTGTTTACTCACGGTTAGTAACATTCTGCACAGACTGTTTCAGGTTCTACGGATGGCAGTTCCGATGTTTACCAGGAAAACCGAGGACAGAATGTCAATACAGTGCTGTTTCTTTCAAAGTGCAACATAGAAAGGCAATATGGAGACTACTCTATTAATTGAACGAAAAACTCAACCTATGTCGACGAGTGGATGAAAACGAGAAGAAACCGTCCAAAAGATCTTTAAACTAATAAAAACTCCCATCATAAACACACTCATGGCCACTGTTAACTTTCTAACAAAAAAGGTTGACGACCAACGTCAACCAGCGTAAGACAGCTAAGAATTTAATTTGACAAAGAGAAGACATTTAAAAATTATTTCCTCTAGCTTTTTTGTCGCCATTTTTTTCACTGTGATGTCACTTTCGCCTCCACTATCGCTTCACCGAACGCATATCAGGCACCAGTAGCGTCGGAAGCGCTTCAATCAAGCAAACGGAACCTTTCGCGAAATGACTGGTATTTGAAACAACAATACAAAATGTCCGGTTATTTTGTTCCAAAAAGGTTCGACATCTACTAAATTCTACAGAAATTAACCCCGAAACTAATAACCTAACCCAACCATGGTCAACATTCTCTACTACTCAGATGTGCTATTCCATGCAGCTCAAAAACCAAGGCTATGGATTCCAGGACCGAGCATTTCTGTTTGCCATGCATATTAATTACGACATTCTCTTTCCCTAAAATAGTACTGTTTCCAGATCGATTTCGGAGGCATCGAAATAAAAGTTTAACGAGAAAAGACGAAGTTCACCACACAATGTTTGAAGAAAATCCCACGATTGCTATTTTTGTACTAGCCCAAACCAAGGAAGGCAACAAAAAATTGAGTTCAGGAAGCATAGATAGAACAGAAGAATAAAAGAAAAAGGTTCTATTTAACCGGTCAATCACTAAAAAAATCGAAAAATGAAGAAACGGCCGGGATGACATGCGATTAACAGAGTTGAATAGAAAAAGGGATTGTTGAGAAAAAACGCCTAGGCGATGGCCCTGAACGATTAAAGACAAATCGCTAGAAAAAAGTGTTAACGAGCAACCAAACTGCTTACAAGCCTTGAAAATAACCTTACTGCCGAGGTTGCAGCACAATAGAACACACCATTTCCAAGAACAAGTAAAACTAAACAGTAAATGACAGTGAACAGTCATCTTACAGATGATCCGTCGTAGGGAGAATTTAAATGAACAATGAGGCGGGACGGGCTGACCGCGCGATGATAGCGAGAGCGGCGAGACGCAGACGATGTTGGCCGTTCGCAGCTTTCCGCAAAAGGCAACAGACGTCTTCACGTGCGACTACCGTACCCAGTCATTCGTGACTTGACACTATGCTATCTTACATGCGACTATTCCAGTGTAAGTTCCTGGAGTCGTCCGACTTTTTATTCCGCCTTGTTGTTTGTATGTAATATTCTGTCCCAATCGTGGTCGCCAACGAATCTATGCCCACTGAAGCGTTCCTATCACTTTTTTCATGAAGATCTACGTAATTGTTGGCTATGTGCAGTATTTCCTCGGGTATTCTAGATCACAGACTGTTGTGAAGCAGATCAACAAATGAAGGGTAAAGCATTCAGCGTAGACAGCCTCTCTGGCATGCGCCACGCCCACCATCCACTAAACCTTATCAGAGCCGAAGCCGAGAAGGGAAAAGCACGCGTTTTCTGACTCTAAAACAATTATGATATCCCATTTATACCGACCCTGGCGGGATGGAGAGGTTAGGTTAGAAGTCTGACGAGCGTGAAATCCCCCGGTTCTATTTAATAACGAGACTGTGCCGGGCTGCAGCGCCATCTGCTACTCCTGCCCATCCTGCGAAACCTGTAAAAATTTATTTGTTAGATGTCCCGAAACCTTCGAAGCGTCTGCGAGTTCTCCCTATTCTGTGCCAACGGCTTGAAATTCTCGAGTTAGAACCCCTAGACGGCAAGTGTTAACAAACAATAAGATAGGAGATAGCGGCAAAAACTGAAGATCCCTCCGGTTGAAGATGGAATTGTTCGAATGGCGGTGCTTCAGTGCTGAATAGAAAACAACTTGCGAACTAAATGCATGCAGTCTCATCAGGCAGACCTTTCACAACTCTACATCTTCTGTATTGCCAACCTGTTACAGCCCGGTTTAGCCCCGTGTAGAGCGCTTCGTGCATACTAATTTCCAGTCACCTGTCTTCAGATGCCAAAGAGCCAGCGTCTTGGCATCGAACCTACTCCTTTTTGAGAACGAGCATGGCTCATCTATACCAAATGTACGCAAATACATAAAAATACATAAACCGGTAAATGTAATGCACACAAAAGCCAAATAGGCTCGAAACAGTTCTAGTTTTCCGATCTGCAGCGAGGAGTGAAAACGGACACAGAAGTCGAGGATTGTTTGTTAGAATAGGAGCACATTTTGTTACTGTAAAACTGGGCAAAGGTATGCACATTTCGTTTGGAAACGACTGTGCACACATAATTGCAAGAAACAAACTGTAAAGTTGACGGGCGCTGATAAATGAAACTCATTATGAAGGTTAGTTACAGTTACACAAACAAAACGAAGAACTCAAGAAATAAATGTGAAGGTGAAAATGTCCAGCCGCACAATTTAAACCTAGTTCCGTTCTTTCAGTGTTTCAGCCAAGATTTCTAATGCTATTTAGAAAAAACACCCCTTCCAGTGGATATTGTATGTGGGACCTAATCTTCAATGAATTAAATTCTATGAAATGGGGCAAAGGTTGCAGATTGTACATAGAAGTGTTCGCTGGTTCAGTGAATGTACACGTGATTTTTAGAGGGTAGAGTAGTGCCTACAGAAGGCATGCCTGGAATCTACGATGACGAGATTCAGTGGAAGACGAATATGATTTCTATTATATCGTAAATTTCGTCGATTTTGGACAGTCTTGGTCAACGCGAAATATATGGTCCTACTATAGGCCTACAAAATCCTCAAATTTTTGTATGACATGAGAATGACGGACAAGCCCGATTTCCCGTTTTCGAAACAAAGGGAAGGAGAATACTGAAGCGTTATGCGACGAAAAGCAATTCATAGTGAGAAGTTATCAGCCCACTTCTTAATGACGAAGCACTATAAAAATCTGCTGTGATGCAGGTGCAGCAGAGCAAGCAAGTCTA